AGAGCTTACTTTGTTATTTTAAGTTCTTCTAGTGGAGCTCTTTAGAGTAGCAAGATTGAGAGCTCTTAGTGAGTAGTAACATTGCAAGTTGTGTGCCTAGTAATCATTGCAACTAGAATTGTTGGATAGGTGGCTTGCAACCCTTGTAGAGCAAGAGCAAGTTTGCATTTCGCTATTTGTCATACTAATCAAATTGCTCTAGTTGATTTTTAGATTTTAAATAGGCTATTCACCCCCCTCTAGCCATATTAGGACATTTCACTGCATCCCTAGGATCATGCCATGGAAGGGAGAGCTCACTGGGCAAAGCTCTGACCGGGGGATGCGCATGGCGTCGAGGGTGTCGACGTAGAGGATGTTGAGGTCGCTACCTCCGTCCATCAGCACCTTGGTGAGGCGCTTCTTGCAACAATGGGGTCAATGATGAGCGGGTAGCGACCCCGTCTGGCGATGTGGGAAGGGTGGTCCCTCTGATCAGAAGTGATAGGAGATTCTGACCAGCTAAGGAAGGAGGGGACGACCGTTTCGGCGACGCATGCCTCTCTATAGCACACTTTGTGCTAGCGCTTGGAGTAGATGGCATCAGATCCCCCAAAGATCATGAGGGATTCCTTGGGATTGGGAAAGCCATCCCCATCCTTGCCTGCCACGCCTCCTTTCTTGGTCGCTACCTCCTTGCCCTTTCCTTCTTTTGGCCCGCTGCCCTGTCGCAGAAAGCGCTTGAGGAGGTCACAGTCCTTGTAGAGGTGCTTGATGGGGTAGGCGTGGTTGGTGCATGGGCTCTCCATGAGATTGTCGAAGTGGTCGGGTTGGCCCTGCTAGGGTTGCCTGCTCGCGCGATCAGCCGCGGCGACCAATGCGGAGTTGGCCGATCTAAGAGACGATCCTTTTTGTTCTTTTTGCCCCTTTGTGTGCAGGGGCCCTTTTCTTGGTCCTCGCGCTTGGCCTTACCCTTGTCCCGGCCTCCAACGAAGACCGCTCCGACCGCCTCCTCGTTGGAGGCATGGTTCATGGCGACATCAAGCGGGTCACGGGTGGTCCAGGGCTTCAGACAATCGAGCTTGTGGATTAGGGACTCACATGTTGTCCTAGAGAGGAACACGCTGATGACGTCCGCATCAACGACATTAGGAAGGGAGTTGCATCGCTTCGAGAACCTACAGATGTAATCCCACAGGGACTCATTGGGCTCCTGCTGGCAGCTCTTGAGGTCCCAAGAATTCTCAGGACGGACATAGGTCCCCTAGAAATTCTCGATGAAGATCCTCTTGAGATCTGACCAGTCGCGAATACTGTTATGCGGGAGGAATTCGAGCCATACTCGAACATGTTCCCCCACGCAGATGGGGAGGTATTGAATGATGAAGTGGTCATAATCCACCCCTCTGGCTCGGTAGATGAGCCAGAAGTCTTCGAGCCATATACTGGGATTCGTCTCCCTGGTATATTTGGCGACGTTGGTAGGCGGTCGGAAGCGCCATGGGAATGGTGCTCTCTGGATGTGACTACCAAAGGCCCATGGTCCCAGGCCATCCGGGCTGGGACTCCAGTCGTCCGGTTGGCGACCATGCCTGGGGTGCATTTCCCCGCTCCCCTCAATGGTCCAGCCGAGGCCTGTGCCGCCTGCTCTCACCGTCACATGATGGACGTCATCATCACGCCCAGCCTGACGCCGATTGTTGATGACGCAGCGAGCATCTTGGTTCAGCCCGAGCCGTTCGCACACAGGCGGTCGGTGTGGAGCGGGCATCGGGTCAGGCCATGGTGCAGCTGCGTCCTCCTGTTCCGCGCCCGATGACTATAGTGGTGAGCGGATGGAGCGACTCGACTGGTGCGCCTCCATTCCCCCAGTGGGGAGAGAGGCCACGAGCCGGTGTCACGACGTGGAGCTCTTCGCCTGTTGAACGGCGGTGGTTTCCACCAGCGCTCGGAGGTTTCGGTGGACCAACTGCTCCTGGGCGTCGATGGGCTCAGGAAGGCCGCGTAGAAGCATCGCCGCAGCGGCGATGTTCTGGCCAGCCCAAGCGAACTGTGGGGGATGGTTCCCCCCGTCCATGATGTTGCGCTGGACCTGGCGGGCGCGATCTCGAGCGCCGCTTGCCGGGTTACACGCGCATGGCGTAGCGTACTATGCTGAGCGCGCTGGCACAAGTGGTGGCTAGCTCTGCCGCCTTTGTCGTAGCTCCTTGTCATGCTCTTGCGCACGCGCGAGGGCCTCTGCGCGAGGGTCTGGAGGGGTGTGAGTCTGTAGAGACTCCGCCATCACCGATGGCTATCCCAGAGCGTCTGCCATAGCGCACTCTCGGGATAGCGGGTGGTTAGGTGCCATGACATCGCCGATGCTGGAGCCGTCGCTTTCAACCTCGTCATCCACGAGGTCGTGGAAAGAGGCAGGAGCATAGCCCGCCGTCCCCATGAGTTCGGATGTGAGAGGGGGCGGCGTCAGCATCCTTCGGAGCCCCCACACGTACGCGTCCATGGGGGATGTGAGGCCGTAGGGGAACCGGTTGCATGGCGGTAGCGGTGGGGACAACGGGGTCCCTCCGGAGAGTCGGCGGAAGATATTAAATAGCGAGTAAAGAACAATATGTATGTTACTCACAGTGGGGTTTGAGTCCATCGTGGGCTTGGAGCTGAGCGTAGGCGCCTTGTCGTTGAGGTCGCCGGGTGGCCTAGAGCTGACGGAGGGCGCTCCTCCTCCGACAGGCGCCGGGACAAGTGCGTCCTCGCGGAGGTGAAGCACGTCGAGCTGGCCGGCGACGAAGTCCAAGCTTCCGAAGAGGAAGGTCTGGGATGGCTTGAAGACGGGAGGAACCCACATCCCAACAGGTGGGAGCATGGGGAACTCCAGCGAGCCAAAGCGGGTCATATCGCTTGAGCCCGCCATGCCGAAGATGGCGGAAAGGTGGGCCATCCGATGATCAAAAGAGTGAACGTACGGCGTCCTCCCCATGGACAGCGCCAACTGTCAATGTGAAAAGTGACCAACAAGTAAATAGTTATCGTTTTACCGTACGTTGTGATCGGATGTGGCCTAGCACTCAATGACACAGGCTTTATACTGGTTCAGGCAACGTGCCTTATGTCCAGTTTGAGTCGATCGGTGACTTTATTCCTGAGCCTAGGTGCTCGAAGTTTGCTGTGGGGTTACAAACAAGTGGGAGTAAGATGGGGGTGTCAGAGGTCCGGTAGGACTCTGGATCGAAGGGCCGAGAGTGACGGGAGCTCCTACGTGCGCTAAGTATTGGATCGTATGCTCTGTGTAGTTTTAAAAAGTCTAAAGCTAGCAGAGAGTGAGTCGAATGATCCGTCTGTTGTTCATTTATCCGTCTTTTCACTCCCTCTGTTGGGAGAGGGTGCATCCCCTTTTATAGATGAAGGGGGCAGCCTTACAAGTGAGAGAGAGAGTGTGTGTGCTACCTAGTCTTATTGCCCACATCGTCGGGTATAAGACGGTTTGTTGGCGCCCACAATACTATTGACGCCCAGATGCATGTGGTTGGCTCCATCGTGTTCTTCTGGTATGGCAAATGTCGGCGCCTATCATACTGTAGGACAAATATCGGCGCCCACAACACTGTTCGTGTTCTGACATGTCTGAAAGGTTACAAAGTACCCATTGACATGGCCTGTCAGTACCGTCCTGTAGGTGCGCAGGGTATGGCCCTCGGTATTGCGGTTGACTTATACGCCTTATCTGCTCCGTCTGATTTCTTGGGTCTTCACCGAACGGGCGTCCCTGTTCGGTCGTTCCCAGTCGGCTCTGACCGCATAGGTCGGAGAAGAGCCGTCAGCAGAGGTTTGGTGTGTTCCCGGTCGGAGAGGCGGGTCGGAGTCGGAAGCGAGCGTTGTCCTCTCCGTGGCCAGGCCTTTCGGTCGGAGAGGCGGGTCAGAGTCGGAAACGAGCGTCGTCTCCTCCTTGGCCCTCGCTCTTTCGGCCTGTCGTTTAGGTATCTGGGCCGGCACAAGAGTTGCGTGTCGTTCGCAACGTCGTCTGCTGGGCCGAGCTTTTGCTGAGGAGAAGACTCATTAGGGACCCTAGGTTTATGAACCCGACATATCTTGTCGAGCACTAAAACTTTGGTACATGCCATCTCCATTTAACTTTATTTGATAAATTTATAAATTCTTTTGTGCCGCATTTATTTTTAGAGACAAGTAAAATTTCCAATTGTGTCTGAAAATAGTTTTGTTTTGGGGGGGAGGGGGGTCTCAACGTTTTTAGAGGCATGTTCCTAGAGGCTTGCGGTCGGTGTTAAGTGCCTTTGATAATTAATTTCTAGAGACTATTTGGAATCATTTTCAGCAGGTTTTTGATTTAACAACGGCTAAAAAACAATGCATCTAAAACATCGTTTACGTAGTAGCGCCTGTTTGTTTACTTATTTACATGTCTCGTAAATCACACCGCATAGGAAACAACAAACACGAAAGGTAGAGAATATATTAAAAATATAACGAAGTAGGTGAGGTGCAAGCACGAGACATTCAGACATTCCCGTTCGGCTCGCTAAAACTGGTTCAAAAAATACTGTTTTGACTGAATTAGATATGCTGAACGGGGCCACAGGAGTATATACTCCATTCTTCCATTGATCGATTGAATCCAGTGGTATGGTACAAGTGGAAGTACATAATAACAAGATTACATTACTGCATTACTACAATGACTGACGATATATGGACCATGCTCGATCGCTCATGAACTTGCACAAACTAATCAAAGTCTGATCCATCCTTATTCAGCTCCAGTCCAGCAAATACAGTATAATCCAACACGCCTAGCTCGTACAATCAACGAACAGCTAAGTAAAACAGTACAATATATAGCAAGCAACACAATAATACTAATAAAGCACGATCAACGAACTGGATGGGTGAACACTGACAGTGGCATGAGAGCAGCAGTAGTAGTACACCTGCGCAGGCGGCAACCAATCCCTCGTATAGCTTCCCAAATCGACGAGTCGAATTCGAATGATTATCAGCTTGGTAGGCAGCTAGGCTGCCGCCTGGCGGAGGAAGAAGTCGTCGTCCTTCTCCAGCCTCTGCATGGGCTCCGGCTGCAGCGCCAGCTCGACGTCGATGCCGCCGTCGCCGCCGCGGCACGGGTACAGGTACACCATGCCATCGAACTTGTTGTTCCCGCCGCTGCGGACGCGCTCGGGCCGCCCGAATCCGAAATCAACGTCATAGACCTTGAACCTCGGCGAGCTGCCGACGGCCACGCAGTTGGGCCCGGCGTCGCTGTAGTGGAACAGCTTGGGCGCCGCCTCGTACTCCTCCAGCCTCCTGGCCACCGCCGCCGCGTCGTGCTCGCCGATGGCCTTCTGCAGCAGGCCCGCAGCCAGCTCGGGGGGCCCGCCCAGGAGCATCCCCGCGGGCACGCCCGTGAACACCGCCTGGATGAGGTTGCCGAAGTAGGCCGGCGGCAGCGGCGGGTCGAGGCGGGCGCGGCAGTCGGCGAAGACGGCGAAGGCGGTGATGTCGGCAGGGCCCAGCCCGCGGGCGCGGGACACGGCGCGCCAGATGTGCGCGCCCAGGGCCTGGAACGTGGAGAAGGGCTGGGCGGCGGCGACGCCCGGCGGGAGCGCCGCGTTGGCGGCGGCCTTGATGCGCGCCACGGTGGGCGCCGGGAACGAGAACACGCGCGCCACCAGCGCCTTCTTGGGGCCGTTCGGGTCCGTCTTCTCGTGGGCCTCGGCGGACGCCGGCAGCTCCAGCCGCACGCGGACGGACCGGGCCAGGGACCGGTCGTGGATGGGCTGCACCGACAGGGGGGCGCCGCGGCAGAGCTCGGCCCATGAGGACATGAAGTGCCACGTGGAGGTGCCGTCCAGCACGGCGTGGTTGAAGGCGCATCCCACCGCCAGACCGTCCTTGAGCTTCGTGAACTGTGCATGCATGCAGCAGGTGCGTCACTCGGTCAGTTACTATTTACCCAAGATTTTGTTCTCTTTTTTTTCTGTAGAAATAAATTACCACAGCAGTAAAAGCCCAAACATTCTTGTACCATGCTAAATTGCTACCGTCACCATCAATCAATTCTCCATGCAGGAAAGAATACAGTTCTAGCATGAGCACAGTATCATGTTTTCGGTATCTTGAGTTTAATTAATTATAGATAAAAATATATTAATATTTATGGTATTAAATAAATATTATTAAATTAATTACGAAATGTATTTTCATAATAAATTAATTCAGAGCCATAAATATAAATATTACTCACTAGAAACTTTGTCATCCGTGAACTACTTTACTAGTACGCGACTCATAGTTACATTCTTTTCTAAACAAAAGAGTAATCGGCTTGTTCGCTGATTGGTTTCTAGGCTGATAAACACGACCGGTGCTGGTTTATTGTGAGAAAAAAACACCATTGGCTGGCTGATAAGGCCTGGCTGAAACCAACAAGCGAATAGGCCAAACATGTAAAAAGATTACGGTGGTGTTTAAATCCAAAGACTAAAGTTTTGGGATGTCATATCAGAGTGTCACACGGGAGTGTTCGGATAGTAATAATAAAATAAATTACTCTAGCACATGGTTACTGTAGCATCACATTGTCCAATAATAAACTAATTAGGTTTAAAAAATTCGTCTCGCAAATTAGTAACAATCTGTACAATTAGTTATTTTTAAGTTTATATTTAATATTCTATGCATGTGTCCAAATAAACTATGAGATAAGGACTAAGGAACTAACCAGGCCGTAATATGCATTGCTGTAATAACAAGATTTAGAGTAGTATTACAGCCCATATGCCTGGGCCTTGTTTAGTTGACGATTTTTTTTGGAAAATAATACGATAGCACTTTCGTTGTCTCGTGAATTATATCTAAACTGTGTAATTAGTTTTATTTTCATTTAGTCTAATTTCAGGTTTAAAGAGATTCGATGTGACAAAATCTTGAAAAATTTAAAAATTTTAGGAACTAAACAAATACCGGCCAATGTTTTTATTTATATTTAATGCTTTATGCATACGTCTAGGATGTGACAAAAAATCTTGAAAAATTTTACAAAATTTTAGGAACTAAACAGTCACCTGGCCAATGTTTACATTTATATTTAATGCTTCATGCATACGTCTAGATATTCGATGTGACAGAAAATATTGAAAAATTTTAGAAAATTTTAAGAACTAAACAGTCACCTGGCCAATGTTTACTCTGCACGGCAGCTGCTGTTGGTACTAGCAAAGCATTACTTCCATCTGCCAGTATATAGTGGGTAGGTAGCAATGCAATTGACATTCAAGACTCATTTATTGTGGAAATTAATGTGGATCGGCTAGCTCATGTATATCTGTCCGAGTATACTGTACAGAAAATGGAATACTAGCAGAAAATACGTACGTGATTAATTGGTGTGAAGAGTGAAGACTAATACTCCTACTATGCACCAGGAATTTGCCAATGTGACTAGCTTTGAAATTTACATTTGGAGACTTGCTTGTACATTTAGGTGTGAAGAGTGAAGACTAATACTCCTACTATGCACCAGGAATTTGCCAATGTGACTAGCTTTGAAATTTACATTTGGAGATTTGCTTGTACATTTAGTTCTTTTAATTTAATGTAGTGGTTAATTAAGTTTATCTTGTTTGCTGCTTTAACGTGACCTCATGACGAATGAACGGATTTGTACGTTTCGATCTTGAACAAGGCGTCACGTATATATCCACAATGTGACGCACGTACGCAGATATAATCCACATATAGCGACCGACGAGAGATCTGGGAAATACGTATAATGGCATGCACTCACTTGGACGGCGAGCAGCGGGCGGCGGAGGCCCTCGAGGTTCATGACGCCGGTGTAGGGCACGAGGCACTGCATGACCTTCTCCGCCTCGTCGCTACAGTCCCCTCCGGCGAGGTCGTCGACGGCGACGCCCAGGGCCTCGGCCTCGAACACCTCGGCGCCCTCGTCGCCCTCGACGGCGAGCGCGCCGTCGCCGTCCTGCTGGCGGATGCGGCCGGTGAGCGGGTAGAAGACGCGGAGCGCGTCGGCGAGCGCGGCCGTCATGCGCGCCACGGCGTCCGGGAACGGGACTACGTCGGGGGCGGCGCGGTACAGGAGCAGCTTCTGGTTGTAGTAGAAGGTGATGTAGGGGAGGTCGAAGGTGGCCAGCGTGCAGCGGTTCTTGGCCGGCGCCACGGTGCGGGCGCCGGTCACGGTCACCGCCGCCGCCGCGTCGTCGGCGGGGCTGGGGCTGCTGCCGTTCTCCACGCCCATCTCTGCTGCTGCTGCTGCTTGCTAATTGCTAGCTATACGCCAGTGTAGTGTGAGTGTGTGTGGTGAGTGAGAAGCGGGGTGGAGGGAGGAGGGTGAGTGATATAGGGGAGGCCAGCAGGAGGTGGGTGGGTCGGGCATTAATGGTGCCCGGAGAGAGAGGCCACGAGCTGGACTGGGGCAGGAACACCGCACAACGGCACGACACGAGAGGGCCGGGAGAGGCAGAGACCATAGATAGAGATATATTTGGCCATGCAGCCTGAGCCCGTCGGTCCAGCCCAAGACTTAAGCACAGCCCGGCACGGAGGCTATCGGGTCCGGGCTGGCCCGGCCCGGAGGAGCAGGCCGTGCCTGGGCCTTACCCTAGGCACGTGGGCCGGCACGGCACGGCCTGCTACAGTCGAGCCCCCGCGCGGCCGCACCCCTAGGCCAGGGTGACATTCAGCCTAGCTCCCCGCCTCACCCTCACCGGTCGGCTCGCTCACCCCGAACCCTAAATCCTACCCGCTCCCTCTCGCCTCTCGCCTCTTCCCCGCGGCCGCGCGGCGGCGTCTCCCACCCGCGCGCAGCCCACCTCCCCGCCTCCCCTCGCCTCACCCTCACCGGCTCACCCCGAACCCTATATCCTACTCGCTCCCTCTCGCCTCTCGCCTCTTCCCCGCGCGGCGGCGTCTCCCTCGCGCGTGCCGTCTCCTTCCCGCGAGCAGCGACGGCCGGATTCAAGCGCACCGGGGACCGCCTCCTCCATGCCTCCTTGCGCAGCCCCACCTCCAGGGTGAGCGCGCTGGCCACCAGATCTGCCTCTGGGGCGAACGCACCGGCCGTCTCCCTCCCGCGCGCAGCCGTCTTCCTCCCCACACCCGAACCCTATCCCTTCCGCTGCCGAACTCGCTCCTCCTCCTCCTCCTCACCGAGATCTGAAGCTCCGCTCTCTCTCCCTCCGGCCCTCCCTCCACTCTCTCCTGGCGCAACAACGGCGCCCCTCTCCCTCCCTCCCGACGGCAACCCCTCTCACGCGGCCCCTGCAGCGGCGATCCACGATGGAGCTCGCGTGGCCCCCCGCGGCGGAACTCGCGTGGCCCCTACAGCGGCATGGAGCAGGGCGTCTCTCCTCCGGCGCGGACCTCTCCGGGCAGGGGCGGCGCGGATCCAGCGTGGGACGGCGTGGATCTCCTCCGTGGCGGATCCGCTCCCCGCGTCCTCCCTCCTCCCTTCTCCGGCGGATCTCCAGCGAGCGGCGTCAACCCCCTTCCCCTCTCTCTCTGTCGGCGGCCAGTGGGCCTCGGGCTGGCACGGCCTGCGAAATTGGCCATGCTTCTCGGGCCGGTCCGGCACAAAAATCAGCCCATAGTGCCGTACCTGGGTCGGAGGCCAGGCCCGTAGCCCTGTGAGGCACGGCCCCGGGAGGCACGGCGTGCCGTGCTGGCCCGTTGGCTATCGGGCCGTGCTTTCATGGGCCCGTGCCGTGCCGGGCCGGGCCGGCCCGTTGGCCATCTATGGATATATGGATAGAGAGGGAAAAGGAAATCAGAAAAAAATGGCGACAGGGGAATGAAGACGACAGCACAGCGCAGGCAGGCGATGGATCGACGGAATTGAATTGGAGGTGGAGGAAAGCGATGGAGGTGGTAGATGGTTCGGTTGGGAGGAGGAGGCGCACATTTATGGCCTGCCGCGCGGCCTTCATGGCTACCACCACGCCATCCACAGACGCAGCTGCCGCTCTTTTTTCTTCGAAACAGACGGCCGCCCCGGGCTCGCATTGCAGGGACAGATCGACAGCTCGTCGGTCCGTGTACCCTAGCGCTAGCTGTACTACGCCCACATGCCACCTCATTAAGCGCCACACCATATCGTTGCGTACGAGCTTTATTTATACAGCAAACAAATGCCAAGATATATACATGCATACATACGGACACGCATGACACAACACATAAAAAGTGGTATGTACAGTACCCATAGTCTGGTTGCTGCCAAGAAGAACCGCAAGCTACGAAACAAACAGCAAACAACAATTGGCAAGCCCGCACACACAAGTGGAAAGCAACCAGCAAACTGAACACCCAAACAAGACGTCAGATTACACATGGCAAAAACAACAACATCAAAAAGGTTTTTTTTGACAATGCAAAGGATCACTGTGGCTAGGGATCACATATTTAAAATCTACAAGGGTAAAATAAATTGTTCTTTTTTACAACCTAAAGTAGTTTAGATTTTTTTTGGACATGCACAATTGATTATAGCGTCACATAATGCTAATCGTACATTGACTTAATGCAGTCCCGAACGGGTAACGGTCCAATCCAATTTAAATTCAAACCGAGTACAGTACCAACATTAGAGAGCACAATGATTAAGAATTTAGCATCTATGAACTTGGAGTCTTACTTAAACCCATCATAGATATGATTATGATCACTAATAAACCGTCCTGCTTGCTGATGCATCATGTGCGGTAGTGCTTAGTGCTTAGTGCTTAGTTTAATTAACTGATCATCAAGCAAAGGTTTTTTGCGCACGAATTTATAGTCAAGCGGTCAGTCGTCTCTACGAGACTGTTTTAACTTGGTTAAACAGTACACAGAACCTACCCGGTAATTAATAAGCTAATAACGAGCAAGTTAAATTAGCCACCTCACACCCCCATCGTCATTTTGACTTTGTGGGGACATGTATTGGTTGGGACTTTGGGACATGTATAAGAAAAACTTTGCTTTTTTTTTAAGGTCGAGGAAGCTTTATTTACAAAAAGTGGAACAACCTTCTCTTCGTTTATGCAACGAAGTCTAAGCTAAGGTGACGGAAGAAGCAATTGCTCAGTCAAAATCATTTTACCTTATATATGTAGTCACTACAACACGAATATTTTTAGACATGTTCAAAATTGATTTTCATAGTGGTATTCGAAATCACTACTACATCACTAATTTTGGAAATAAGGTATTTATAGGGGTGCTTTTGAAATTGCATGTGAAAATAGATTTTTAGGAACGGTTAACTTTAGTCAGGCACCTCTAGACAACTCCTAATAATATTATTTTAAATCATAAAAATATTAATCTTTGCCAAAAAAATAAGTAAAAAAACCTTTTACCTAAACGAATCTTGCATTTTTGTGTGACTTTATAGAGATTGTGCCCTGAAGATTCAAACCTAACCTCTTACCTCACATATAAGCCCCCTACTATACTTAGTCAAATAAAATTTTAGGAGTGATTCACAAGCTATAATGCAACAAAACATTTATAGAGACGGTTGACTTTATCAACTGCCCCTAAAAAAGAAGTAATTATAAAAATCATTTGTGTGTTAGTGTTCACGGTAGTTAACAACCATTATAAACCATCAATAAAACATGTATAAGGGCACAATTGTGATCACCAACAAAGGTCTAGGGGTTTAAACTAACAAATTCCACGAGTTTTGATGAATCTATATTTTCTGCAGGGTTTATACAAAAAAAGCATCAAGGCGGACCTACATGTCAGAATTAATCATGCTTATCCACCGCGAAACGGGCACCAGAAAGTTTCAGAGGACTCTAGAGGACACCACACCGAAGCGGGAGCCGAGCGACTGCCATGTGGGGCTCCCCAGCCCCACCTGTAGGCTGCCTGGCCCTAGGCCCACCTGTTAGCCTCCGCGTCACAATGTCGGTTTCTCCACCGCCTCCTAGGTTGTATCTATGTTGTCCTTTAAGTCGGTTTGATCCAATGACTCATGTTGGACACTCCGGCCTATATATATCAGCCCCTGCCCCTCCTCAGCTGATCCCTAAAACCCTAATTCATATCTTGAGTATCAAAGCCAGCAATCAAGAGAAGATTAGTCTTCCATAGGATCTAGTCTTATAAATAGAATAATAAGATAGAGAGTGAGGGAAGAGTTTGGAGGAGGTGCCAGCTTGTTGGTGCTCACTCTACGACTTGTACCTTGGTGGATACAAGTTCTATTTGAGCTTGCTTATGAGGATTCTCTAATAATCAACTTCTAATTCAAGTAAGCATCGTGTTTATATTGCTCATCAGGTTTGCAACTCTTTTGAGTGCTTTAATCTATAGGACGCTCTAGGTTAAAGTAGTAATTGTAGGTATAAGCGTGGTGCTTAGACCAGGTTATTTGTGGATGTATCCTATATTTTGGATCGGTGGTAGCTCGTGAGGGTGATTCTTATAGCCTCGTTAAATCCTCTGTAGTCTACCTCCCATTTGTAGGCCTAGCAAGATTTAGTTACTATAGAAAACATACTCTGCTTGTGCTTCCCTTAGTAATATCCCTAGTTGAACAATAGAAGACATAAGCTTACCCAAGTTAGAACTAGAGAACCTTAATTATCCTCTCTATGCTCATATTTATCCTAACCTTGTTGCTACTCCTAGTTAAGTTAGACCATAGTTAGTTTCATATGTTTCCCTATGGATACGATACTTGAAATACCTTCAGGTGAAAGCTACAGCGGTATCCGTGCGCTTGCGGATTTATCTGTGTGCGTTAAAATATACCAACAAGCTTTCTACCACCGTTACCGGGAAATGGTTATTGAATTAACTATGAGCCTAAGCTTAACCTTTTATTTTTTATTCTTTCTTTTGTTTTACTTTTTCATTTAGCATGGATTCCTCTCCTATCTATCAATATGCTAAACTCACAAGCGTAAGCCTAAAACCTCTAGAATTTTTAGAGCCTATCATAACAACTGGTTATGAGCTACATCTGAGTTTAATAAAACTGATTTGGGATAAATCCTTCTTGGAGAAGGTGATGAAAACCCATACTCACATCTACGGGAGTTTGAACAGACCTGTGCATGCTTGCGTATCGTTGGCATGTCTGATAAAACCTTAAGATGGAAGCTATTCTCGGTTCTCTTTGATGGGAAGAGCTAAACAATAGTATAGTCTAACCGTAGAAAGTATGCAAGGAGATTGGAAACGCTATGCTCTAAATTTTGTTTACGTTTCTTTTCCATCTCTAAAGTGGTTAGCCTTCCAAAA